TGTAGTAGCCGTGGCTTATGAGAAAACTCCGAGTTTTGTATGCTAAGAGATTCATCTATTCTCTTATCTGGTCCCGTGCCCACGCGGATTAATCATTCAAAGTGAATGCATCGGAGGAACGGGTTTCTTCGGCTTCAAGGCGAATTCATCGGGGTTCTCACTCGATAAAAAAAAAAAAAACTGTAAGAAAAACGAAGGATTTCCTTTCACACAGGTATAATTATCTGCGTTTAAAGACGAGAGAAATAGATATTCAGTATAAGTTCTATCAATAGCTGAAATAGTGAATTCTAAATGAGTACAACTAGATATTTTTATACTACAGATCTCGTATAAATAGATATTACGTCTTACTATTAATAGTATTTGTTATATCACTCGTATCATTATTAATATATAATATTTATTATCAAATATTGTATTTATTATATATATTATAAAAGCAGCATTTTAAAAATGAGAACTGAAAGTGCTCAGATTCTTTCTTAAGAAGCGTAAATGTCTACGTCTCCACAATTTTAATTATAAAAGCAATATTGCATTCTCTCTCTCTCTCTCTCTCTCTCTCTCTCTCTCTCTGTTTCTCACATCTATCAATGCAGATGATTATTTTACGGAGACATTTGTGACGGAGATTCGTTTGTGAGTCACTTCTTTCTCACTTTGGGCTGGGTGACTCGTCTTGGAATGATCATCAAATGCGAACCGTGCAGTAAATTCGCCGTTTCGCCGTGCCAGGACTTGCGAAATGCGAGTAATGGCTTTCGCCGCGCCAGGTCATTCTTCCGCCTGCACGGACGAGGTGCGATAAAGCTCCTCCTCGTACGAACATCGCGTCGACATTCCATTTTCGGAATGTAGTGTCTATCCCGCTCGGGGACCGCCTCTACACAGTGTACCGAGAGAGTATATCCGGCTGCAGTGCTTTGCAGCGCCCCACGTAATTTATTTTGGCAACGAACTTTAGAGTTTCTTGAAATATTGCGTCCTACCTACCTAATTGTGAACTTTACATCCGGTCGGAAAAGAGAACATGCGACGCGAGAAAATGACCGAGGATCTTATTTTTCACAAAATCTCTGTTCTCGGAACTCGGGTTTGTTGAATCGGTTTAAAATAATAAACGTTTGACCAAAGCCATCGATGGAACGTTGACATTTTGAAGTTTGTGTAAATTTGCTCACAACTTTTTTCGAGCTTAGTCACGATCTCTTTTTATCAAATATTATAATCATTTTATAGAGAAGCATAGCATTATAAAAGGACGTAAAATAAAGCTTTCTGAAATCTTTCAGTCATATTTATTAGTTTCACTGTATTTTGATTGTATTTTTATTGCAATAATATAACTCGGAATCTAATCTTAAATCTTATTTCAGTCTCTTCGTCACGCTTGGGGACAAAGTCCCAAGCGAAATACTCTAAAGGATCCGCTGGTGGCGTTTGTTGTTCATTGCTCACGAGCTTAAGCGTAAACATGATTTATTCGCGGATTATGCGTCGTGTCATCGTGGAAAAACGTATTATCGCCCCGGTGATGTTGAGCTTGCGCGCCGACGCGTCGCGATGCATGCACTTTTATTTATCCATTAAAGCGTGCGTTTCTTGACGTTCCTACGGCACGTTAGGTCGGTATATGTTAAGGTTTATATATATATATATGTATTTAGTTTACACACACATACATGTCGCCCTTCCCTTTTATGTGGCCTGTTAAATTTCTTTTCGAGGTGGCTGTCAGACTGAGTTTTTATGGAAAAAAAATATATAAACGTTCTTTCGCATGCCAAATATTGGATACGTTCAGCAGAAAAAATTAAATCAGTTAACGCTTAATGATTTTTTCATATGATTAGTTCTTGCCTTTAGCTTTAGCCTTTTCTTCGCTGGATCTAGTAGGAAGCGTAGGAATCAAGGTAGGAACCAATCATATTAAAGAATCACTAAGCGCTAATTGAGTTAAATTAGTTTTCTCTGCTGAACGCAGTCATTGTTGTACAGTCGTGGACAGAACTGTTGCAAAATTTATTTTCCGATGAGTTTCTAAATTCAGCCTTGCTCGTAAAGCGATTGAATGGTTAAACGCCATTTAAGTTACGTCCACAAAGCCTATTCTATAATAAAGTCGCAAGCTGTAAGTTATAAGAAATTAACCATCAATTTTAGTCGATTATTTTTGTCGATTATTTAACTGTGATTGGTCAATTTCTTATAGCTTACAATTTGCGACCCTATTATAGAACAACGATAAGAATCAATTGCTTCGTAAGAAGGCTACATTCCGAAATCCATCGAAAAGAAAAGAGTGTTGCAATTGTTTTGTCCACGACTGTACACGCTAAATTCATAATGTTAAATTATACTAATGTTAATTAATTTAAATTGTTTTCATAAAAAAGTATGGTGTATTAACATTACACATGCTAAGCATTAGCCGACAGCAGTTTAATTGAAAATAATCTTGTTAATAATTCCATAAGATTATTAATGAAATAAATATATCAGGCTCTCTTGTTTTAATAAGATATTTAATTTTAATAAGATAGGTTGTTTTTTTTATAAATATTAATAAGTTATGTGTGATATTAATACTGTTATGAATAAACAAGCTTATTTTCAATTAAACTGTTGTTAGCTGATATTATTTATGCATTATTTTTTTCATGTATAGGTTGCCATTACTCCTATTCAATATGTCGTTAATTTAAAACAGTGCGAAATTAAACAATTTAATTTAAGAAGTATATTTAAGTCAAACTTAGTCGAGAACTTAGTTTATTATTTTCTAAATGCGTACGTTAATAATGTTAACATAGAATATAAATGTTTATTTTTAATTGTTTATTTTGAAATCAAGCTGCTTAACTACAGAAATAGATTGATTTATATTTTGACACATGGAAGTAAAAAATAATAAAATGTCATTTTACTCAAGGGATTGATTTACTATTGTTCCTTTGATATCTAACAGTGCAATGGATTGAAAATAAAATAAATGATAGTCGCACAATTTTATTATGTATATTGAATTAAAATTTTTTAATTTTTCTTAACATGTATTAGTTTTTTTAATTATTACCTCTGTACTTTGTATCGTTTTTGTAAAATACAACGTATTTCCATATTTCTGAATTTATTCCGATATGGTTTTTTTGAACGCGAATCATCAATGAGAATAACTAACACATTCGTTATTTAAAATTGTTGAACAAGATTTAATTAAATATAAAATTGATAACCAATTAAAAGAAAATACATTATTTCTGCATAAATAAATGAAAAATTAAATTCTCTAATATTTACAATAGGATTATTATTCACTCTTTGAAAGTGAGAATCAGTGTATTATTATTAACTTCAGTATACTATACTTATAACTGATGTAATCAGCGAATATTTAGTGTTTTTTCGTAATAATATACTAATTCACTTTAGAAATTATGATTCCCTGCAGATTGAAATGCAGGTTGGTCTGCAGAAAATCATAATCTTTAAAAATGTATCAATGTATCATTACTCAAAAACAGTAAATATTCACTGATGATTAGATCTATTATAAGTGTAGCACTGATTCACTTTTAAAAAACAACTCGTAAAATGTATATTTTTTATGATCTCACAATGTAAAGGGCTGAAATGTCGAATATATCCGAGATAGAGATGGTGTTCCAATCTTCAAAAGATCGATCTTTCCAAATAATATTAGCGATTGTAAATCGATCTATCTTGCAACAATTTTTTAACTAAAAAGGACTATTTTAAAAACCGATCTCTTTGTAAAGAATTGTATCTTTTTTTTTACAAAAAGGATTTTTTGTCGAAACGATCTTTTTGTAAAAAATCAATTTTTAGAGAATGAATCGTACATCTCTGATCCGAAGTGTTGTTAATTATATTTCAACCAATGAAATCACTATTTCCAGAGACATAAAGCAGTTTCGTCCGTCAAGTATTAACAATACGAAAGTAACTCTCGTACCAGTCGCGTTTCATTTACATGTATCAAAACTTTTTTCATGAAAAATGCAAAATGTTTGCGCGCTGAAAAACTGATGTATTTCACGAGCATTTTTAATCGTTGTTATTTATTAATAATCTCACCTGCATTGTTATGTACAATATAAACGAATTTGACGTCCAGTTTTTCAATGAAATTAGGAAATTATACCAGAAATAATCTCGAGTAATCAAACTGTTCACTATTCAACGAGTAAATCAGCAACAATTCAGGAAATTTTGTAAATATTGAAAAAATTCATATATAAATTAAATTTTCATATTGCGTTATATCAAACTGTCGCTTCTTGCTAAATTATTAATGTTATACACTGAAAGAAACTAAATTATAATAAATATTTGTTTGAATAGTTCTAAGTAAATATTTATTAAGTGTAAACATATTATGTATTTATTTGATACAAAAAATTCATTAATTTGATTTGACTATCATTTTTGTTCTGTAATAAATATTTATTTACTGTAAGTAAACGTTTATATAGTAAGTACTATTCAAAGAAATATATGTTAAGATTTTCTTTCAGTGCTTTCAGTGTCTATGTAATGTTTGGAATATTTTTAAAGATTTTTATTTAATGCACCGCAGAGTTGTTTGTGCATTCCCTTGTGGAGTCCCCCATATACTGTATACTGTGTATACCATTAACATACTACGTTATACGAGACCGCTCGCACGAACAATTCTCTAGCCGCAATTGCCGAGTCGACAACACTCTATCTTGGTCCCCTTTGCCCCCTCTGCGTCTCAAACTTTTACAGTTTACAAGTTTACAAGTTTAGTTTTACGATGTAAAAAAAAAAACACTCGGCTATCCCTATCACTTCCTTGTGCATGAAAACAAGCGTGTAATTTCGTAACGCAGCAAGTTTCGCGGTCGCGAAAGCGCTGCTCTAATTTAACTTTGTTAGTCTCTTTGATTTCGTAAAATAATGTTGCATATTCGTAGCACTTGCGATAATTCGCACAACATTCTTGTCAACAGGATCGATCGACGGCCGGAGAGCAGCGCTCGGAGGTGGTGAATGTCGAAGAGGAAAGAGGACGACGAGGAGGAGTCGATCTGCCGTCGAAGGTAAAGCGAGGTGGAACCGACTGAAAAAGAGAAGAAAAAAAGAGGAAGGCTGAAAGCGAAGAGAGACACGGTGGTGGTGGAGACGGCAGAGGGGTCGAAAGGTTGAGCGACCTACGATCAAGACGAGGAGGAGGTGGCGGAGAGAAAGGGGCGGTGGAGAGAGGGCAGGAGGGGTAAGAGAAGGAGGGGGAGAACGATCGGAGAAGAAGGACGGAGAAATGATCTTGGTAGGTGATTGGCAAAGTGTTGCGGTGGTCGACTCCTCGACGAAAGGCAGATAGCGCCATTAGTTGTTGCCGGGGTACGGAACATCGGGCCCATGCGCGTTGCGGCCCTGGCCGTGGGTGAAGATAGGGAGGAGGAGGAGGAGGAGGAGGAGGAGGAGGAAGAGGAAACGGAGGGCCATACGGGGCACCAGCACGGGGCCCGTGGGCCCGCGATGCGCTCCGCGGTTACCGCGACAGTGGGGGGCAGGAGTCAATGGTCCATCACGACGTGTTCGATTTTCTTTGTGCTGTTGCTGCTGCCCGTTTGGATTCCGATGGCCGTCGTCGATGCGTCTCCCCTTCATCCCGCACCACCGTATAGAGGTGAGTCACATTTGGTGAGCTCTCTTTGTTATTCCGTAAAGTTAAATTGACTCGGTGTCCCCAAAGTTCGTATGCTGGATCTGCGCCTTCAAATCGAAGGTACATATCGAATTTGGGATCGAGTTGGGAAAAATTGAATTTTTACATACTGATTCTTTTTCGCGCGTGATTATTTGATTTTTTTTTTACGGAACATAGAAAATCAAGATTATTTTTTAGAGAATTATTAGTTTGAAAAAATTCTTAATAGAATAAAATAAAAAGGTCTATTAAAGTATCACACTTTTTATGCATTTTTGTAATATTCGGGAACACTTATAATGTTAACTTAGAAAGTTTTATTTAACAAATACGTAATTCCTTCATTTTTCGAAATATATCTTGTCATTCTTATTCAAATATTTTTAATATTTCAAATATTAGTGTTCTTAAATACTTGAATTGTAATATTAATTTTTTTTTATATATTTGTCAATATTATTGTTTTTATTTTTAAATAAATTAAGATTTTAGGACAGAATGTATAAATATAAAAATTAATGCTCATTTATTTTCTTATGTTATAAAATTGTTAATATTATAATCATTTGTATAATATTTATATTTATATAATATTATATAAGATGTTAAATATGTACGATATGTCTACTGAAAAATTGTCGAGTTTGATTTAGTAAAGTTTAAATTGAAAAAATATTGGTTTAGTGGCGATCGTATACCCATGTGAGAGTCTTCGGATGACTTATATCAAAATACCGCGCCGATCGATGTCCCAAAGGGGTCCGTCCTCGTCGATAATGGCCTTAAAGTCCGATACTCGCCTTTGTCCAATGTGTTCCTTTTGTGTTCCGATCGTTCGATTGGTAGTACTTACCGAAACAATGGTACGCTACCCTAAACGGTGTTCTAATTGTGATCTGGAAACACGTGACATAAACTGCGCTTAGCATTGCCCCATTGATCGTTCGATTTACTTCGAAAGTTGCTTAAATTACGTATTCAATGTCCGTTCGTTAAAATATAGATATATTACGTAATATGTAGTCGTGTCTTAGATTCCTTAAAATTAATCGGCTAGTACAAAAATCAAAAAGTATGGGAAAAGTAAGTTAATAGCTGTAAACAAACCTAATGAAACAACGCTAAGATTTATTACAAAGAATAAAATAATAACAAAAAGTTATTAAATTGAATGACGAATAACGATTTTTTTTCGTTTACTCATCTTTCGCTCTCTCGAGGAAAATAATTACACTGAAAAAAAAGATTGGTTGCTGCAACAAATTAGATAGTAAAATATAGCATTTTTATATGGCTGCAGCAATCAGTTTTTGGGTATAGCAGCGAATTTTTAATTGAGTTAGCCTATCGAAATCATATACTGACATTGCGGATAGGCTAACACAACTAAAAATTTGCTACGACTGGTTGCTGCAGCCATACAAAAATTTTATGCCATATTTTACTATCTAAATTGTTGCAGCAACTAATCTTTTTTTTCAGTGTAGATATTTTATGGCGGGAAAAAAGGGTGTAAGTAGCTGGACCCGAGAGTGACTAGATCGAATCCGAGTTTTGTTTCTCAAACAACTGTGTTGAGCCACATCAGAGTCTCATCACGCACATAATCATTAGAAACCCTTAAGTAAGATATTCAAGTCTGAATTCGATAACATGGCGATAACATTTGATTCTTTATTGTAGAGTATATAGACTTTCGTAGTCCACCTTATACTTTCTACAATGCCGCCATATTGTATTGTGAAAAGACTACTGATCTAAATTCTCACTTGAGGGTTGTCTTTTATATATTTTACTGTGCATCCACATTTAATAAAATTATACCGAATAAGTAGAATTTTATTTTTCACGTGATTTCCTGAAATACTTGTTGAATTCTTCAATCTTCGTTTTTGTGAAACACTATTGATTTTTAAGCTCTTTAAGTGCGTCAAAATATTTTTCTGTATTAGTGGATTGCTTTTGCATATATATATAATATGTATATGTATAACTATTATAAAAATATCGGAATATTACTAAATTTGTTATTTTGAAATCCAGCGATAAGATTGACGGATTTATGTGTGTGCATTTTCTCGGTAAAGTGGACGCAAAACAAGTGCACTTCGGCTGCTGCACTTGTCCGAGATCTGAAAACGCGTCTCTGAGGAGCTCTCTCAGCCGAGTGGTTGTGGTGAAGGCTCGAGCATTCGTTTTCTCTTAAAATTTCCGTGATCTTTTCATCCTAAAATACTAAAAGAGTTTCCGCGAAGTGAGTGTAACATTTCATATCTTGTATATAATACGCGCGAAAGTAAATTAAATTGATTTTACAGCGCTTTTGCGATGAGACGTCGGCATCTGAAGTGAATAGATTTAATTGATAGAGTGAAAGAAGGTCTTTGATATACAAGTAAAATCATATTAGCGACAGGAGATCCAATGAAAGAGTACGTATATATAACTGTAGCTATATAAATATTGCAAGAGTATTGTCATTGCTAAAAGGCAAAATATTTCAATGGATTTCAGATTGATTTTAATGGTTGAAAAAAGAAATTTTAAAAAAGTTCAATTTTAGCTTTGTAACTTATTCTCATTGATACCTTTTTTACAATTAAGATTTAGATTGCATTTCTATAAAAGGATAAATATTTTTGTATATTCGATGTTAAATGTGACTATCCAATTTTAATCTGCAATAAACGTTGATATTATGTATGTAGAATTAGTGAGTTTGTACTTTTATAACATATTAATATATTACATGCAAACATTCGATCAGAAATAGGAGTTCCGTAAATATGAATGTGTTCATTTAACCTATTATTGTGTATTTAATGATAAACTGCTTGATTCTACGTTCCATTAGGACTGTCGTGAAAGAAATTAGAAATAAATTATAGTTTCTAATTTTGAACTTTTAACCTTAAATAGGTAGGTGAATAAGTGAAATTAGAATAGCTTAAATTTTATTTTTATAGATATATTTTTTAATAGAATATGTATAGAGTTAAATTTATATTATTTTTATATTCTTAGGGGAGATAGAAGAATATAAAAATAATGAACTTTAAGACCTTCTAGACGATTTTTTTTATTTTCCTTTTGCAGAATAAGGTTTTAAAATAACTATGTATGAGGGTGCTGTGACTACCTATTCACTTAAAGGTTAAATATGAAGACAAGATACGGAAATGTCAAAATCTATTTCTATTTCTCACGTGGTATATATAAATTATATTATACCTAATTTTACAATGATCTTAGTAGTCATAAAAAAGCTGGTATAGTCATCGCGTTTTTTCCCACTGTGAGCAATCAAGCGCGAATTATATACGCTTTAAGGTGCGTTTACATCATGTGGCAGAACTCAAGAATTACGATGTAATGAAAAAAAAACTATGATATGTTAGAAAAACTAGTCTGGATCGGTTTTCTTTGACTTTGTATTATTAAAATAAATTCTCAATAACGATATAAAATTATTATTCTTTAGCTATAATAGAAATTTCTTTAACATTTCATGAAAAGGAATTTTAAAAATATTTTTTTAAAGATAAAAATTTGCATTTATAATTGTACACTTGTTTGTAGGAAAAAAGTCTACTAACAACTAATGACATAAAGCTTGCAGCTTACAAATGAGTTTTATGTCGCGTTCCTTTTTCTTTATTTTATAAAAAAAAAAAAAGTTAATGGGACAATTTCTTTTTATTTATTTGAAAATCATGAACGCTTGTTCGCCTTCTCAATCACGCCTGTGGTCACATTTGATACAAACGCATTTTTACGACGCAACTCATCTTCGCGTGACTCGCGCGATTTACCGTTTGCGCAACGCATTTTTCTTAGACAGCCACTAATAGAACATCCGTTTTCCTCATTGTGTGCTTTTCAGATATCACGCGCTCGTATATCAGATACTACGAGGCAGCCACATATGACACCGTAGCCTTGAAACGACATCGCAACCGGATACGTCGCGACGTCACCGACTTCGAGCAACCCCTGATTTTGAATCTGAAGACGCTCGATAGGTGAGTATGAGTTCCATAAGCAAACTCCTCTCTATCTCGGCACACACAGCACTCTTCCCTCACTCGCAGTGTGTTCCGTGCAAAGACGGAAAGAGATCGATACGGAATCTGAGCATCCAAAGAGTTTGCTGAAATATCAGGATCATCATCGAACGTCCAATTCTAAATCAAGATAAGGAATGTCTTTGAAACTCTTGAAAAATTTAAAATTCCGAATTCTACGATTCTACAGTGGAATTGAAGAATTTTGTGCGATTTAACAGTACAGACGGAAGTATCTCCGAGTACGTTACTATTATATGACCTCTTGCAAATGGCATTTCGAAATTGGCGAATACGTGTACCTCCTACACACTGCTCGTAAAGCGATCGCGGACAAAGTTGCGCCCAGTATGTGCCGCCCGCACGTTCTCGGTATGTCCTTGTTAGGTCAGTGGTACCTGAATCCGATTAAAGAGATGGTGATCAAGAGACTAACTCAATGTATAGTCCAGCTCGTATAAATCGCACGCGTGTTGCGAAATTATTTTACTTTATTAATCATATGTGTTAATTAATGCGAATATATCTTGTTTCTCTTGTTCTGCTATTGTCTCTCTTTTCTCTAAGATAGAAATTTATGATCTTCATCAAGAAAGAAAATTAATTCTGTTTACTAGCGTATTTCGAGTCACTAGGCATTCTTGTTTTTATATCACATAGGTCATTTTTTATTTTTACCTTTAATAAAATATTTCCTCTTATATATCCTACTACGTCCAATAAAACACATGAAAAATAAATATTAAAATGTTTTCTGAAGTGAGAACTTTTTGTTACGAAGCAATTACAATGATAACGCTTACAGTTATAACAATTAAAACATTCAGAAGACGCTTTCTCTGTCCTTCTCTCTTTTTTTCGCGTTGAATATCATAATATTTGTGCTCGCATGTTGAACTGGATTTACTATTGGGAGCAACAATCACGGAGTTTCTCTCTCACGGTTATTTAATATAAGAGATGCAACAAACACAAATGGCAGAAAGTTCAATTTATGACAGCACTGCAGTTCAGCAACAAACCGCGCTCTATCCACTGTCGGTGTATTAAGGCGGAACCGTTTAAATATTGAATCGCGCTTTCACTCACAGCGTATTTACGAACTTAAGAAATAGCCGTTAGGTAACGGTCCGACTTCATCCGTAGTTGGCCCCCCCCCAATTTTTAAGAAAATTAATTTTTTATAGTTCATTCGATTGCTTATCATTTGCACATTTATGAACACTTTGAATTTTCGTTTGCATACTTTTAGAGAAGAAAGTTGTATTAAAAAAAAATTTTGGGAAGCTAACTTCACACTAGCCCCTCAACTTCGAGTAAATTGGAAAAGGTCATAATCGATAGATTTTCGTTTGTATATTTTGAAAAAATTCCATTTTCCGTTTGCACATTTTTAGTTAAAAAGTTATTAACAATAAAAGTTTCGAGAAGAGTCGAAAACAATATTACGTTCGAATCGCACTTACTATGCTCAAAATAGCATACAAAATCGATAATTTTTTTTAAAGGTTTTTGTTTGCACATTTCGAAACAAATTGATTTTTTGTTTACACACCTTTATTAGGTAGCGTAATTTTGCAATTTTAAACGACTTAGTGATGAATATGACTGTTTGTTCCAAGAGGGAAGTGCTTTAAAAGATGTAGCGCAAAAATTGAAACTATGTGAATACGAAAGCGCATATATGGTATAGCACATAAATATCCTATGTATTTTCCATATCGATTGTTATTAACATGTGGGGGAGGCTGACTGACAGCCTACTCAGTCTTCTCAAAAAAATTTTTTTAGTTGAACGAAATGAGTACAAAAATTTTTTTTTGCGGATTTTGAGAACGCATAAATAGCGCATTATTATATAACTTATTCATTAAGATTTGGTAAAGTGGGAAGGGGGGCAGCTAGGCAGACATATTTATTGATATAAAGTTAGCCTTCCCAAAATTGTTTTTTAATAACTTTTTAATTAAAGGTATGCAAACGAAAAATCGACTTGTTTCGAAATGTGTAAACGAGAATCCATAGATTCATGCCATTTTGAGCATAGTAGGTGCAATTCGAACCTATTTCCCACTTTCGATCCTTTTCGAATTTTTTAATTGTGAATATCTTTTTAACTAAAGGTATGCGAATGAAAAATTGAATGTTTCGAAATGTGCAAACGAAAATCTATTGATTATAATCTTTTCGATTCAATCGAAGTTGGGGAGGCTAGTGTTAAGTTAGCCCTTCCAAAACTATTTTTTTAATAACTTTCTTATTAAAAGTGTATAAACAAAAAAAATTTAAAGTATGCAAATGTGCAAACGGTGAGCAATTGAATGAGCTACGGAAAATTGGTTTTCTCAAATGTGGGGGGACCAACTTTACGCGGGTTCCGATTTTGTTTTATCTTCCGAATTGTAACAGTATATACGATATGACTTTGTCGAATTTTTCCTAATTTGCTTATTTCTGTACCGCATGTAAATAAACAAGCAAATTATAAGCTTTTCATTTCTCTGATATAAGTATATATTGTATTATATTTTATTAACAATATTTTTTATGAGTTACAAAATTACGTCTTGCTTTTATTATTTTTTTTAGTATAGAATGTAATAGAAAAAAATTAATCTTTTTGTGAAAAATTATGTTTTTTTTTTATTTCAATTCATAAAGTAAATTTGAATTTCATAGTTCTGCATATAACTTTAATTCAAATGTCAGCCATAAACAATAGAATTTTGTTTTGTGTCAAATAACATAGATACATATATTTTAGAAGACTTGTTTATGTCTTCTGACATCTTTTAGATACTCACGTTGTCTGAGATTGTTCAAGAATAGACGAATTAGTTTAAATCAAACGGAATTTTGAATTCGATATTCCTTTAACTATAATTCATCATAAATATTAAAACGATTATAAATGAAATAGAAATTAAATTAATAAATGGAAATAGAAATTGAGTCTATAATTTTGGGATTGATTATTGGCATAGAAATATCGGCATTTGTGACAAAAAGCAAGAATAAAAAATAAGATACATTTTTATTAATGTCTTTTAATTTTACTTTTATTGATTTTTTTATCTTTTTAATTTTACATAATTTAATTTTCTTTTCGTATCGAATCAAATTTGGCAATTTTTTTGCGCTGGAACGTATTATATTATTCCACATCGTCATTTTTAAAATAAATTTATTACTTTTTAAATTAATTAATAAGATTACGTACGTAGATCAATATTATGTACGTAAAATACAACGTAATATATCTTTCTAATTATACTATTAGATAATTGTACCAATCTAGAATAGATCATATTCAATGAATTGTATAATTGCATTAACCGCTTTATTCGGTCTGTTCGAAAATTTACGTTTATATATCAGTATCAATATTATGTGAACAGAAATATAAACTTTCCAATTATTATACTATTAGACAATTATATCAATCCATAATAATAGATCATATTAAACGAATTGTATTAAACCCGCTCAATTTGATCTGTTCGGAAATTTCGCCGAATTCTGCACTTCGTGAGGAAAGTGAGACAACGTTAAATACATTTGTCGAGCTATACATTATGCAGGAGACCGTGACGATCGCGTGCACCATGTATGTAGATTGCAAAGTTACAACGAATGGTCCAGCATCTCAGCCGTGGCGAGGTGACTCGGTAGAAATGGTTTACGTGCGAGCCCATCGGCGTCATTTCTTCTTTCTTCCTACTCCTTCCACCCTCTTCCCTTGGGAAAAGGAAAGGGAGACAAGTTCTCGAGGAAATTTCGCCCGTAATTCATAGACGTTAAGCTAATTAACTGGCTGGTACTTCTTGATCCGACAGTCCGGAGGATTTGCGGCACTCTGGAGAGGGAAAGAGGAAGAGGAAGAAAGAAAGGAGAGAGCGATTCTCTCGGCGAAGCCGAGGAGTCAAGGAGCGAGCGAAGTCGAATCCTGTGATTTCCGCGTGCTGGATTTAAACGCGTGTAATTACCACTAATTGCGATGACGACGACGACGACGACGACGACGACGACGACGACGACGGTGACGACGATAACGTGATGTCATTGTCCTTCTTTTGCGTCTCTCGCTGGTGTGATTACTCGTTACTTTCGAAAATTTGCCGCAGAGGAAATCCGTTGCTCTACGTGTGTCTCCTTAAAGTTGTGGAATTAGGACGTTGGTGATGTTAGTGCAACTGGTCTGTGTGTTGGGAATAGTTGTCTTCTTCCTCCTGAAAAAGAGATGTGGTATCCTTTGTATCTTCGCTTAGCGTGGAATGAACGTTGACGGAATAAGGTACGAATAAGAATAGTGTACCTCTAATGGTATTTATTTCAAATTTTTGCATATAAGTAGAAAACACTTTACATATTTGTGCAATTTTTAGCAGAGTCAATTATGCTACAATCGATCGCGATTGCCTGGTTACAGGCCATTTATTTCATTGCGCTACGACCGTGCTGTTATCATACTACTGTGCATTCCGTCGAGCACACAATATTCGCTACCGTCCTACGTTCCAGCAATTCCGGAGAGTATCAGTCTCGAAAGAATTTTAGTTCGCGAAGAATTTTCTACGTAAAACTGTCCAGGGAATGTTAAATAAATGAGTACGAGAAAAAGCCAACTACGATAGCAGAAAAGAGATGGAGAGAGAGGGGGGGGAAGGGGGAAGAATAGAGAGGGGAGAGAGAGAGAGAGAGAGAGAGAGAGAGAGAGAGAGAGAGAGAGGATGGAGATACGTATTGGCATTCGCGTTTCACACACCTCCTGCATCGCAAATTTCTCGTCCTGGGCGACAAACGGCATGCAGCCCTTCTCAAGCTGGCAGGAGACATGAGAAACATCCCTCGATCTCCACCTTCTCCTCCTCTTCCTCCTTCCTCCTCCCCGGTCGCTTTCACAGTCCGCCAATGTAACTACAACGTTCGTCTCTTTATGTAAATCGGTCGAATCCACG